CGATTTAGGTTGCGCTAAATGCATGTGATGAGATATGAATAAGTTTCATGAAAGTCCAAAAATATGTATATAACGAGTTGTCCGCGCAAGCACCAAATTCACAATCACTACAACAAGGTGGACTCTCTATAAAACATGTTTCCAGATCAAACTAGAGACAAATAAATGTCTAGAGTTGTATCGCGAAATACTGAGTCCGTAACATTGTCTTGCACATCAATCGAAATGGGCCGGAAAATATCACAAGCGCATCCCATCCTTCCTGAAATGCCTCCTCCCAATGTGGATGTAGGAGCGCAACTATGGCGATATAATTTGTTATTTCGTATTATACTTTCCGCTTGACTGAGCCGATATTATGGCATTATGATGGAACATGAGAAACCTCCAGGATGATAGTGTCTAATGTCTATCCATCAGTATGACTCTACCAGTGGCCCCTCGTTAGTTATATTTTGCCCCAGTAAGCAGGTTTGCCTCGATGCAATTAATGGGTCACTTAGTTAAACACTAACTGTAGTACAAATATTACACCTGTGAAAGTAGATAGTTAAATAATTGTATGGAAGCTCAGTAGCATAGTTATGTGTGGAACATTTGCATCTTGAACAAATGGTTTAATATGCGTACCCGTTCAGACGTGGATTTCCACAAAGTGAATCTTGAGACCACCAGAGGCTTCAAAGGGGAACTCACTATACAGAGTATATTGGGTTTAATTATTCATACAAAGACTTGTATTTTATCAGTCAGAGGTTTAATAGCAGACTGACTAAACGTGCATGAACCTTGGTGGAGTTGCAGGTGTCACCCATTGCCCATCCCACTACTGTAAACAGCTAAAATCTTGGAAACTAGGCCCAAATGGCATGTATAGCCAGCAAGATTTGACAGTTTGGTCCTGGTAAATGCTCATCAAAAGGTACAAGAAAACTATTTCTGGCTTCCCAGTGACAATAAATCTTTTGAAAACATTTCATGCCAATTTCTGTTGGGCTACCAGATCCACTCGGATTGAGGTTTGGATCCTGTTAAACAAAACAATGAAAAAGGTGTGCCCCACATTTAAGTTTCGCTGGCATCCTTACTGAAAGTTCCTTGAGGGACAGTTTTGTTTCCCACTTGTGGTCATGTTCTTTTCGTTGTGGAGGATATTATGGCAATGTATTAATCAACTTTTTGGATGTGTGTGGCTTTGAATTGGTTGCCACATTGACAATTGGTTGTGCCATTTCCTTTGAGAATACATCGATACCTTTTCTGCATTTTAAATGGACATTATGGCGAGTCCCCTCACATTACAGCAAGGAGAGCAATATGGGACAACCATAGCATATATGGCTATGAGCCCAACTTGACACCTTTGTCGCAAATACACTTTGATTGACCCTGCAGAGACTCTCAAACACCTATACGGTTCTTCTGAGCACAGAAGACAAATCCAATGTAAGGGGTTGCCCGCATAAAACACACCAAATCGGAAGCGAGAGCGGTGGTAAGCGAGGCAGTTCAGTTGTGAGCATAGCACAATAAACACGCACTCATTCCATGTACACCCCTCAATCAATCAGTGAGCCCAGCTATATGGGAAGGCTCGACCCCTAGCTGACTAAAATAGAGCGGGCTCTACCTTTTTTGTAATGGCTGACTTGAGAGGTTTCAACCCTGCTTTTGGACTGTATGTTTTCAGCAAAGGTGGTGCGAGAAGATACATACTCTGCAATTTGGTTGAATCATGACAAGACAATCTTCTTGACGAGGCGGCGAGGGTTGCGGGGTGGTGTAGGGGGAGATAGAAGCTCGCCACCTCTTCTCCAGGTATACGCGACCTTCTATTCGAGTGTATACGCGTCCGTGGTCTTGGTCTTCTTAGTAGGCGAGACTGGGGTGGCTTTAGAAATACGTGCAGTGGGTCCAGTGGCGATAAGCTCAAACTTTATTATCACTTACATGATAGAGAAAGTCTGTACATGCATCAATCTCAACTTCTTCTAGTACCAAAATATAATACCCATGGACCACAAAGAAGAAAAAAAACGTCTACCATAAACATACACGACTCGCCGAACAATAGAGTGGGGTATTGGACTGCCTTAGCTAGCAGAGAGAGTTAAGCAAGCACTGAGTCATGTTAAGCCGGTCACAATGCCAAGATGAAATGGGTGTTTCATCCTGTCATTGTAGGTGATAAGCAAAGGAATAATGTTGCACGACCCGCTCTCTGCCATAAGGTCAACCCATGTTATCCCTCATGTGGTTGCCGAGCAATTTGAGTAGCTCCCTGAAGACAAACAAAACTAAGTCAATGACTCAATTCAGGACATATCTGAATCGAATGAGGGCTTTTCACATGACTTTTTTTTTAATCTGATACCACAAAGGAAAACTACAAGGTTGTAGTCTTGGATTGAACAGCCTCTTGCCAAGTGGCCTCACTATCCAACTCTTCCTAACTGCCCTCAGCCTCTGACGAGAGGGTGTTTGGAGGGAAACAAGGGACTCGAGCCACATTTCAATGCCCAAGAAGACTTGTGGCCATGACAAGTTGCTGTGCTGTTTCTGTAAATATGGAGCACGGTGTCCCTCGGGGGCACATATAGATAGCAAGATGTGATTCCCAGCTGGCGCTGCCTGGCATCTAAGTCTAATGATAGGGTTTGTTGGATTGAGTGTTCTTCTCCGGTACCACTTTGGGCTGGTGTATCTAAGTTGCGTGACATTGTTGATCAGAGCTATTTTTGCGCATCACATGAAATAACAGCCTGAATGGATTAAACAGCTGTCACTCCAAGAACCCACAGAGGGGTGCCTCTTTAAATCGTGTGGTGTTGAAACTTACATCCATGGTAAAGTGCATCAATCAGTTTAATTAGTTTACAATAAATCAACACATCTATTCACATTCTGTGTTTTCAATTGATAACAAGAGCTGCTTTTCGTAGTTTTGAAAGTGTTTCGCTACTATAATGTGTTGTTCTGGTTCCAAGTGTCCCATTTACGAATACCAAGTCGAACAAAGTTTTGGGAGGAGTAATATTCTTGGTGAGAAGGGATTTTTCTTGGTAAGAAATCATTTCGTATGTGCGACTCGTACACTAGCAGTTGGCTATCCATAATCACATAATTAGACTAACTTAGAACGAAACCCCCGGGACAGAAGTTGGACGTTTAAACCAGGAAAGATTGTTGGATTTTTTCTTGATACGGCGCATCATTGAACCTTTATCAGAATGCAAAAATTATGTTGAAAATGAGCAAATTGGTTCCAGCTGCTGTTTCTAAGCTCGGATAGGGCAATTGATAATTGATACGTTTCTGGACTTGTCAATGTCTCTAAGGATATGTGAGAATGTAGCCCTGTCAATACGATGTCCTTTTTGTGTTATCTGTTGTTTTAATGTTCAATGTTGTCAACCTACTTGCTGCCATGTTTGGACAGGTCTACCTTGAAAAAGAGATTGATGATCTCCATGGGACCTCTGGTTAAATAAAGGTTTTAAAAAAAGAATGAATCATACAGGATAAGAAGAAAGTTGAGAAATGTAATTCCCAGAATAGAAAATGCAACTTCAATGGGTTGGCATACACATGGTTATGGTTGGTATTGATAAAAGGTGAATGTTAGTGTTGGATGTGTAAAAGTAAGAAAGCAGACATCAGGGACAATTGAAGCTAGAAGTCCTCACAACACAAAGTAAGTTACGACAACGTGTGAGCATGTGTGTCAGTAACTCGCGTTTTTGTGCTCAAATCAAGAGTAGTGGAGTGATTAAAGAGCCGAGCTTACCAACAGCCTTTTGAGAGAGGCTGAAATCTGGGTGATTAAGGCTGCCGACCACACAGCGTGAGGCGGACAAGCTTGCAGCTGGTTATCAATCGATGCCTTTAGAGAAAAGCTATGCGAAACCCTTTAAAATTCCCCCCAACTATTTTTAATACTGAATACGAAAAGGCAGGAGGCACTCTCTTAATGGGCCTCTTCTACTTTACACACAGTCATAATGCTGAGCAATAGGTTGCCATTGTCATTTGGTGCGCCTGTGTATTGTGTTTGTGCAAACGGGTGTACGAGTGATGATATCTGTATGTATTTTAATGTTTATTATGTTTGTATATGTACATGTATGCAGAACTGCAGGACGGAGACCAGAACAAATTTCCTTACGGGGGCAATAAAGTATGTAGTATCGTATCGTAATGAAACGTTAGCTTTGGCTGGGAAACCTTAGCTTTGTGAAGCTGTCTTGTATACAGAGCGTTTCTACTGACTCCCAATCAAGACCATTTCCAGCCATTTTTTTGGGTGTAATTGCATTACAGAAAATGTAGAATAAGCCAGTAAAGTTTTCCACATAAAAAGGCCCACTTCCTCTTCAATATAAAGCAAAATTAGGAAGGTTGTTACAATGTATTTATTTTACCGTTGAGCTACCATGTATTGGCAAGGAGCACATCTGAATACCATTCTTAAAATGTGCAGAGTAGTCTGAATCAACGGTCTGTTGCGGCTAGACCGTCAGGAAATTATTCTCTGAAAGCCAAAAACAACAAACTGCCAGGAGTGGGAAGTTCATATAGCACGAGGAGGAGGTGGGGGAAGATCCATTTCAGGATTCTCCAAAATAGTATTTAGGATGCACACTTGGACCACCATGTGATAGCGTGCGCCGGTTTTTAAAATCCCAGTCATGTGTAGTAGGCAATTTCCTCCTTCCAAAGTCCCTGTAGAGGACTCTCATAATGAAAGATCAATGATTTGATCCCTGGCATTTACCGTACCCCGAGGATCATATGTCAGAGATAATGCCTGGTGGACCTTGGAAGGGAATACATGCTATAGAGACGAGTCGGAAGGAACATCCTTTGAAGTGAAAAATATCCTGAGGTCTGACTGCAGCTTCATTTCAAAGTGAGCATCTCTCTAGAAGCAGATTCACAGCATTGACAACATGCAAATGTACTATCGTCCAGTAGCCACAGAGAAAATAAACTATTTTCCATATGTCGGGTGAACTTTTAAGTATCTCACTTTGACTACCAAGCAGTACTACACTAAACCGGTCTTATATTTCCTCTAAACACTTCTACATGTTTGGTACTTTGGATTGTATTTGACAAGCCTATACCATAACGTTTTTCATGACTTCCTTAAAATGATCAGTTTAGTCAGTTTTGCTCAATATTTAAAACCACATATCTTACTATCTTCACTTTTGCAACGGCTGTTATATGAAGTTGGGTGTAGTTTACACGTTTTAAATGACAGTATATTAAATAAGGATTGTGCATTTAGAGATTAAGGACACGTACATGTATGAGTTTATTATGTAAAGAAATGACATGACATCATGAGACTGACTTTAAAGTAAAATACAAGTCATACTGTCTATGTTCACCTTATTTAGAAACTGTGTGGTCTTTTCATTCATTCATTATTCATTCCTAATGTTTGTGGTGATTTACTATATCCTCTGCAGTGTATACAAACTAGTGTTACTGATAACTGTATCTTTGAATTTAATTGTTGGCTCAAAGCAGGCCGATGACTGACATAAGACAGCTCTCTATGCAAATGATCAGAGACTAAATAAAACGCGTTCTGTTTGGATGCCCATCACTATTGCCTTCTTCCTTTTTCACAGCTGTTTGGTTTCTTCTCTCAGCTTTTGAAATCTCTCGGTTGACTCATCTCTGTCGGATATTGTCTTTCGTGAATGTTTGACTCTTGGCTCTCTTTAAATATTTTCAATTGTTCCTACAATTGTTAACTCATAGGATACATATCCATTCTTTGAAACCAGTGGCTCGAAAAGGTTACTAAAAAAGACATGTATTGTTTTCCAAATGTATATTTCATTGAATCCTAACTCGGTTGCATTTCTCTTGTGCAACAGTTTGAGGGTTGGCTGCAGTGATGTCCAGATCGCCAAAATCCGCCTCGAGGTCTCGGAGCCGCACCAGGTCCCGGTCTAGATCCCGCTCCAGCTCTCGCTCCAGGAGTCGCTCCAGATCCCGATCAAAGAAGCGCCACTACCGGTAAAGTTCCCTTTTATGAAAAACAAACAAATATATTTTTGCTATTGGCTGCATTGTGTTTGTGTAGTCCATGCCACTGTGCCTTTGGGGATTCTTGAAAAAGCTCTCATAGTTTGTATGAATGCCATAACCCAGCTAATGCTTAAGGAATGAATGAGTGATGAAGAAGCAGAACAACTAGCAGCAGGTGCAGCAGGCTAACTGCTGTCTTGTTAGGCAAAGACATCAGTTTTATTAAATCATCCTTTATTTTCTGCTAAGCTAATTTTCCACTCAAACTATCTAGTTAATCCTGTCCTGAGGAATTGACATTGAATACAATGTGCTTGTCAGATTTGGCATGGGAAAGATGTGTGTGCCGGTAGTTTAATTTTGACAGTGGGAAAGGCACCAAGCAGGTCTGTGTTCTGTTAGAATAATCTTCTCTGTTAGCTACATGATCTTTTTTTATTTCCATCTGCAAGACGTTGTCTTGTCTTGGACTTTTATGACTTTGGTTCTCATGAACTCACAAAGCTGGTGTAGCGTATAAATGGATGTGGGTCGGACTTAAACTCTGGAGTCGGCTTCTGTATCAAGAGGAAATTGATGTTTGAGAGAGAGTTCAGCTAACGGTTTGTGAATTTACTTAAATTAGAGTGAATATTATTCCAGCTTGCACTGCATGCACCATCTCCATAATAGGCTGCCTCTGAGCCATATCACAATATTTATCAAGCTTTTAATCAAGAGTGCAGCATTTGTTGGTTTGCTTGATAAAAATGTGGGGTTATCTGATGGCGAAGCGGCGCATTTGTAAGAGAAACTAAGGCTTCACTCTGCTGCCTTGCTGCAGAATAACTGTGGCATGGCAATAAAAGGCAAAGGCTGCTCATTTCCTGGCAGTGGGGCAGCATATTTTTAAAGAATTGGCATAAAGCTAGACGTGGAAGGAATCTAATGTTTTTTCTCATACTGAGCACACCTTACACGTAGGCAAATGATTTGTGGTCACACACATTTACATACAGTGGGTCAAAAAAAGTTCTCCCACTTAAAAAGATGAGAGAGGCCTGTAATTTTCATCCTAGGTATACCTCAACTATGAGAGACAAAATGAGACAAATAAATCCAGAAAATCACATTGTCAGATTTTTAAAGAATTTATTTGCAAATTATGGTGGAAAATAAGTATTTGGTCAATAACAAAAGTTCATCTCAATACTTTGTTATATACCCTTTGTTGGCAATGACAGAGGTCAAACGTTTTCTGTAAGTCTTCACAAGGTTTTCAAACACTGTTGCTGGTATTTTTGGCCCATTCCTCCATGCAGATCTCCTCTAGAGCAGTGATGTTTTGGGGCTGTCGCTGGGCAACACGGACTTTCAACTCCCTCAAAAAGATTTTCTATGGGGTTGAGATCTGGAGACTGGCTAGGCCACTCCAGGACCTTGAAATGCTTCTTACGAAGCCACTCCTTCGTTGCCCGGGCGGTGTGTTTGGGATCATTGTCATGCTGAAAGACCCAGCCACGTTTCATCTTCAATGCCCTTGCTGATGGAAGGAGGTTGTCACTCAAAATCTCACGATACATGGCCCCATTCATTCTTTCCTTTACACGGATCAGTCGTCCTGGTCCCTTTGCAGAAAAACAGCCCCAAAGCATGATGTTTCCACCCCCATGTTTCACAGTAGGTATGGTGTTCTTTGGATGCAACTCAGCATTCTTTCTCCTCCAAACACGTCTAGTTGAGTTTTTACCAAAAAGTTCTATTTTGGTTTCATCTGACCATATGGCATTCTCCCAATCCTCTTCTGATCATCTAAATGCTCTCTAGCAAACTTCAGACGGGCCTGGACATGTACTGGCTTAAGCAGGGGGACACGTCTGGCACTGCAGGATTTGAGTCCCTGGCGGCGTAGTGTGTTACTGATGGTAGCCTTTGTTACTTTGGTCCCAGCTCTCTGCAGGTCATTGACTAGGTCCCCCCGTGTGGTTCTGGGATTTTTGCTCACCGTTCTTGTGATCTTTTTGACCCCACGGGGTGAGATCTTGCGTGGAGCCCCAGATCGAGGGAGATTATCAGTGGTCTTGTATGTCTTCCATTTTCTAATAATTGCTCCCACAGTTGATTTCTTCACACCAAGCTGCTTACCTATTGCAGATTCAGTCTTCCCAGCCTGGTGCAGGTCTACAATTTAGTTTCTGGTGTCCTTTGACAGCTCTTTGGTCTTGGCCATAGTGGAGCTTGGAGTGTGACTGTTTGAGGTTGTGGACAGGTGTCTTTTATACTGATAACGAGTTCAAACAGGTGCCATTAACGAGTTGAGGAGGCTCTTAAAGAAGAAGTTACAGGTCTGTGAGAGTTTGTTTGTAGGTGACCAAATACTTATTTTACCGAGGAATTTACCAATTAATTCATTAAAAATCCTACAATGTGATTTCCTGGACTCTTTCCCCCCATTCTGTCTCTCATAGTTGAGGTGTACCTAGGATGAAAATTACAGGCCTCTCTCATCTTTTTAAGTGGGAGAACTTGCACAATTGGTGGCTGACTAAATACTTTTTTGCCCCACTGTAAGTTGTATACAAACACAGATTCAATTTCAAATACAATAACCCAAAACACACATTTTATCTCGCTACATCTTATGGGCAAATCATCTCCAACCTGTCAACAAGTCTGACTCAATTTGGAGTACTCTTGCTTTAATCACAGTAGCCAAATAAGCCACAGATGCAGACGGTGTTTTATAAAAAATCGAATTGACGTGACGTGCTACAGTGATTCTTGCTGAAATGTTACATTAAGACTATTCAGATGTGGATATCTGCAGCATTTTGGTGTCAGGCTATTAAAAGTCTCACTAAACTGGTTGAACAGCCTGGCAAGCACAGAGGGAGGATTGGAGTAGAATTTTTTATTTTTTTTTCCATGCTCCATGTGACTCTCTGCTCCACCAGTTGGCCAGACGAGATGTAGTATCCGTAGCTCGCACTGTGAGAGAGCAGCGCTGCTCAGGGCGCTTCTTTCTTTACTCACTCTGTATTCCAATGCAAACACACACTAGGTGAGTCCTGTGCGTTTTTAGCCTCTGTATATGGTTTGATATATATTTGTTTGCATGTAGTGTTGTGCTGTTTTGTGCTGTCAATTTAAACTGTTGTTCTGCAATGTAGGCTATAGTAGGCTTTGTAACCCTAACTTCTTAATATACGTTCCCATTTCAGTACGTTTTTTAAATGAAAAGTATAGTAGGGAAACTGTCTGTGGAGTTTCTTTTCATTTAGTGACAGTTGTAGAAAAGTTGCAAAAGAAGTAGCTGTAGAGAAAATACTTTAGTAACATGGCTAGTTTGACGTCAACACTAGATTTGCTCCGTTGATATATTCCAAAGTTATGTTGGAATGCTTGGAGAATGCACGTTGGGCTGATTAAACCACTGTTGTAAAGAAGAGAACATACTGTCTCGTTGATATCATCTTAAAACTGTGTTAACTTTAAGGTTCATGCTAGTGGACGACACAAGACTTTTGATCAGAAGTGCAGTAGAGCCCCCATGTGGCCGAGTGTGTCCCTGCAGCCTGGCCAGAACCACAGTGTGAAGTCTGATTTCTCCATGCAGCGCTCCTCATGTGGGCTGTTTGGTCCCTACACATGTTTTATCAATTCCAAACGACTTATGGATGTTGGATGCATATTTATGTGAAAATGCTTTATGTGTTTTATATAAGTGTGTGCATGTCTGTAGGCCATTGGTTCACCGAACTTGACCTTATGTTTAAAGTCTTTTCTGAATGGCAAAATTAGTGTTCCTTGTTGTTGGTGTATCTACTGTACAGCATTTGGCTTTAAGTGATTATTTCTATGGTTTTACTGTCCTAATCTTTTATCAGTGAAACAGCCAGTCTGCCTGTATACGTGGTGTATGTTTGTGTTTTACTTTCAAATGTATTTATCAGGTAAAACCACCACAAACAAAAAACATTACATTCAATAGCTGTCATTTGCAAGCACAATATCATGACCAATGATTATCATTGTAATTATGATTATATACACTTCTGTCTACGATGCCTCAAAGATTTGTACTAATTACTGACCAGGTTATACTAGAATGGTCTTATTTCATTGAGCTATATCATATCGTCATGTCACTTTAATTTATGCACCGTTTGCTAGGGCTGCTCGATTATGGCAAAAATCATAATCTCGATTATTTGGGTAAATAATTGATATCACGATTATTAAAAACGATTATCCATTTACTTTGAAAACATCCATTTATAAAAAAAAAAATGTGAACAGTATGTTTTTAACAGCTGATTACCCTGAACTTTTTAGTATAATTCAACTGAATTTTTTTTTTAATTGAGCAGCCCTACCGTCTGCCCAGAAAATGTTTGTAAGAGAGACTGCACTTGAGCGATATGTTAAGTGTAAAGGCTGGGAGATACTGTTTCAGATAGTGTTGTATTAGATTGCATTACATTCCTAAAACACTACACTGACTACTACAACTACATTTGTGTTAATCTTTGGAAGAAAAAAGGCAGTAACTAAGTTCTTTCTTTACCCTCTCCCTTTCATTCACAGCTCCAGGTCTCGGTCATGGTCAAGATCTCGTTCTCCATCTCATAACCGGGAGAAGAAATACCCGAGGGGATACCAGAACGGGCGTGAGTTCCGGGGCTACCACCGCGGCTTCCGGAGGCCGTACAACTTCAGGGGCCGGGGGCGGGGCTTCTTCCCACGCGGACGCTACCAGCGTGGCGGCGGGGGAGGTGGCTACAACCATAACAACAACTTCCGCCCCAACTGGAAGAACTACAAGCAGCAGTACCCTCAGAAACAGCAGCAACAGCAACACCAGCAGGAGCAGGAGCAGGAGCAGCAGCAGCAGCCAAACCATGCACGAGGACGCTCTCACAACCCCCAGCAGCGCTCGGGGAGCCCCCCTCGTGGTCACTCCCACCACTCAGACCAATCCTCCTCGCCTCTATCCAGACACTCCCAGCATTCGTCCTCTTCCTCACACTCCTCCTCTACCAAATGGAAGCCAGCCTTGTTGCTGACTAACCCAAGCGCCAAAGATGGGAAAGAGGAGCCCTCTGTCTCCAAGGAGGCCCAAAAGGGAGGAGGGGGAGATGAGGAGCCAGCGGAGCCTGTGGGGGTGTTGGCAGGAGAGGCCAAAGAAAGCGCCTGCAGTGGGAAAGCTGAGGGGAACTGGCAGGGTGACTGCAGCCCAAAGAGAACCAGCACCCTGGCGAGCTATGCTGTTATTGTTGGGCAGAACAGCCAGTCTACCAACCAGTCTAGTCCTTCCCCTAAAATCACAAAGGACATCAGCAATGGCGCCCCCTCCTGGAGGACGGTGGGTAGTTCCTCCTCAACAAAAAAACCCTCACATGAAGGTCTAAATCCAATGCTCTCCAGCTTTGACTTCTTCTCCAACGAGGAATACCTGGATGGAGATAAAACTGCCATCTCCATTGCCTTCAGACAGTAAGAATGGTTTCACTCTTTTAATTCATGAATTTTCACAGTTTTATCAATATATGCAAGCTCAATAGATATAAAAACAAATTCATTGTTTGAGATTTAGGGGGATTTAAAATATGATACTTGTCAACAGTGTTTTTGAATGAAATTCTGCATGTGTTCACATCCTTTTTTCCTATATTTAATACTTAACATTTTAGTAAAAGCTATTTGTAAGGCCTCTTATGACATCTGTTCAGATAATCGCTTGGTTTAATTTGTTGTCTCACACGTGTCATGCCCAGTTAGATGCCGTTCTTTATCTCTTTGTCTTTCTTTAGGTTTTTGGAAGAGCAAAATAAAAAAGCCAAAGCTCTGGAAAATGGCAAGAACACAGAAGCAAATGATGTGGAAATGGAAAAAGGGAAAGTGAATGGAAAAGCACCCACAAATATTTCTGACTCAGTGTCAAGAAAATGCAAAGAGGACAATGGTGGTGAAGTGTCTCTGAACAGCTTTCTGAAAGCTTCTCCCTTTCTGTCTGCTGACGGCGAGGAAGAGGAGGAGATGATCGTCAAGCCTAATTCAAAGTCACTTCACAAAGACTGGCAAAATGGGGAAGAGTCCTTTAAGACAAAGATCAGGGTCACTCACTCAGCCGGGGAACTGTTTGATGAAAGCTTTAGCAAATCGCAAAATGTGAGTTATTCACAGGCTGCTAACTGTGACCTTGACTCGGTAGCAGAAGATGTATATCTTAGTCGAAAGCAGGATAGAGTAGCGGCAATTTCTGCTGCCCTCGCTAAGAGGGAGATGGTGGGACATTTTGAGGAACTGTCACCAGACATGGCAGGTAAAGCCAGGAAGATGACAAGCTCTCCCTCCATCCCATCTCCTGCACCACCACCAAGGAGGAACCCTGACGTAGAGCTCAGGGGAGAGGACACTCCTTTCATGTCCTCAAGGAAACAGGAACCAAAAGTAAATGTCAGAATGGATTTCCTCGGAGAGAGGCTGATGAGGTGAGAGCATCACATAATGATTTCTGGTCCCATACTGGGTCTGTCCTCAGGAGGTCAGACGTCACATCTGTACCTCCAGCTGAGGCAACAGAAGCTAAAATAAATGTATGATTTGTTAAGAAAATGTTCTAATGAAGATAAAGATTGGCAAAAAGAGAAACAGTATGTGTGTTTTAATACCGTTTCATGTGATCTGAGAACTGTTTTTCTGTTTATATTAAACCAAAGCAACAGACTAAAAACTTTCTTTTATCATTTNCCGAACACAACATAAGGGTTAACCCTCCTGTTATCCTTGGGGTCAATTTGACCCCATTCAATGTTTAACGTATCGAAAAAAATGGTTCACATTATTTTGGTTGCCCAAAATAATGTGAACCATTTTTTTCGATACGTTAAACATTGAATGGGGTCAAATTGACCCCAAGGATAACAGGAGGGTTAACCCTTATGTTGTGTTCGGTTCTCCCGTGACCCGTTTCAAGTTAAAATTATATAATAACTACGCTCTAGTTTTTTTTATCGGAACGAGGCTTCATGATATCCTCCACAACAGCTATATAAACACTACTAAACAGATTTTGACAATTGTTGCCAAGTCTGGAGGTCTCTAAAAAAAAAGTGTATAATTTGGTGTTCGAGTCTGGGGAAAGCCAGCAGAATTGTTTTGGGTGACTCGAGGTCAAATGTGGCCCAATCAAGATTCATCTCTGACTTTAGATACCCCTCCCCCACCACCTTCATCAACTGCAATAATACTTTTTCACAACCTGCACCTGGTCCCCCCTCCCTCTGCCCCCCTTCCCCCATGGGAACTCCACCTTTCTCAAAGAATATGTAAACTAACACTTGAACCTGAACTCACACTTGCACATGTGCAATATGTGGTGTAATGTGTTTTGGGCCAACAGGATTGTACGGTTATGAATGCATTATAAGTTAGTTATGATGTAGTTAAAAAAATATTGGATGATAGTATTTTTTTTCTTGTGTTTTGGACATAAATAAATCATGGGTAAAAATGTACCCGCGATCACCATGAACGGTAACAACTTTTGAACACAACACAAGGGTTAAAAGCTGCAATACGAAAGTCTTCTGTGCTGAATTAACAGAAGCTTAATGTTAGACTCATGTGGCTTTACAATTATGTGCTTTCTGCAGGGGGATGGGAGCGTCTCTACAGAGTGTACTTTTAACCTAAGGAGTGCTCTTGTTTTTAACCAAAAAGACTCCTTTGTATGTCAGTTGTTTGACCAATTGCATAAGTAGCAGAAGGTATGTACTTTTATCCCATACCCTTGCTTATTACACGCACCTACATGTAGATGTCGAGGAAATGTTTCATCTCCCTGTCCCTCCAGGAATAATGTGTTGGCGAAAACCACAGAAGTGTGAATTTGCATTGGAAATTGGTTTGCTCATGCCTGACTTTGTTTGCAGATTCCACTGATACATCCTGCAAGTACCACGGAATATACTCATTTGATTAATTCAAAATTAGACGAGCTGTGAAAATGACACAGTAAAAGAAGTCAGCTGCAGTAGGCAAAGTGTAGATCAGAAGCATCAGGGTGGATGGAAGATGCACGAGAGATTAAACAGGAAGTGGCATGTTTTTCATACATGTGTAGGCCAGAGACACAAATCTCTCACATAACTAAGTACTCTACTTCCTAGGAAACAAGTGCCTAGATGACCATAAAGCTAACCGAACACTACAGCAAATGATATTTCAAAACAATTCCTTCCATCTAAAGCCATCACCGGATCAAAGCTCAGTTTAAACAGTTTTACAAATTTACATTTTTCATTTGATATTGTTGATATAATTTTATAATCAAAATCCAAAAATAATAAATACTAAATTAAAAAAATTAAAAAACATTACCATCATCTTCAGATGTGTTTTTTTTAAATGTACCCACTTTGGGACCAATTAAGGATTTTTGATTGTGTGGCAAATGTTTGAATGCAAACCTGTTAAAATCTTTCAGAATGCACTACTAATAATCCAATGACTCCAAAAGAATGGTTCCCAGCGTCACATCTTGTGTGCTACTGTTGCCAAATTATAATCATAATGTAAACCATTTTCTAAATAGATTTTTCTTTTTGTATTTAAAGTCACAGCCTTCTACTTTTCAGTTACAAGCAGTATAAACCATATTCTAAAAAAGATTACTTGCCAGTTTTTAACCTTGACACAGTTTACTGAAAGTCAGTCCTGAGATGGCCCCTGCCTAAGCATCTACATGTTGCCCTGTGGCCCCTTCCCATCCATCTCTCCCCTCTTAGCCCCCCATCATATCGCCACTTTCCAGACACCAGGCAGGTTATTTTGGGCAATCCCTCTGACACCACTTTCTCCCTCTGTGCCGGGATAAAAGGGTTCATACTCCCTCCTACTTTATATCCGTCCCACCTGTTGGCGCTGTCCGTCTCCTTGCTGACATGCCTGAACACACAGAGCTCTTTATCATTACTTCTAAGTAATTACGGCAACTTAAATCCCCCCATGGCTGATGGACTGTGGACGACCTCGAGTCACATGTTGTTGCCTTATTAGGACAATACTTGGTTTCTCAGGATTTGTATTGTATTTAAATAAAACTTTAAAACACATTTACTGGAATAACCCTTCCAATATTTCTTTTTCATTATTATGGAGGATAATTACTTTGCAAATAAGTCACAGGATGTTTAGATTTTAGTTGAGATGGATGTCAAAGCTTTTTCTCAAATATACTAACAAAAGTCACTTTGCATCGGCATGTCTTTTTGTAAAACCTTTGAATCTCAGAGGCAGTTTTGGTGAGCAAAGACGTTTTGGCCGATACAAACAGGCAGTTGTTAGGCCTTTCTTTGCCAATCCTGTTGCATAATAAAGTCCCATCTGGTTGCAGTTATCATTCTGAAGAGCCAAAGTCTTCTTAAATTGCTTTCTTTGGTGGAATCAATGTCTAATTCATGTTAAATGCACTCTGTTGGCAATTTAAGCAAATACTATTTAAAACAAAGCTTCTATTGTTTTATAGATGAACACTCTTTTTGTCTATTAGAAAATAACCAAATCCTTTCCACTCCATGCTGTTGAATCATCTCTGCTTACATGGCTTTATTCAATATGACTCAGCAGAATGAGTCTGTGTCAAATCCCACATTAGTTTCAAGTTCTGTTCTCACTTTTAAAATATGAAACCCTGGCACTCGCATTCAACTGGCCGTTTAACAGCTTTTCCACTGAACACTAGGATCCAGAGGTCAACTTCAAAAGAAAAGTTGAAACGCTTTGAGTTTAATGTTTTTAGGAAATACTGCTTATATCCTTGCAATAAAAAGCTCAGATTTTAGGTGGGTTACGTTTCCAGATCTCTGCTTGGGTTGTGTAAGTGTAATTCAACAATAAAAATGCTCAGTCACAAGAAAAAAACCTGCCATGTAAAGTAAAAATAAGTGTTATCAGAAAATGTAATATTGGAGACAAAAGTAGATATTCACATTAGATAGATTTGTATCAATGTATTGTGTATATATATACTTGTATGTAATCTGAAATGTGACTTAATGCAGTAGCTGTCACGCTATTGTAGTATAGTAAAAAAAGTATAATTGCCTCTGGAATAGAAGTACAAAGGAGAATAAAATTGAAATACTTCAGAAAAATAAAAAGTACTGTTTAAAGGCAAAACAGAGCTTGCATTTCACACTTGTTGAAAATAATAAGTGATACATCGTAAAATCAGTTAAATTAGATTTTTGTTCGAAGGTTATAAATCCTAAAACCCTTGTATCTCCGTCACACAAAGTGTTTACGATCATTATGTATTTTGGGGTTTCATCTGTAGTTCATTTTGATACCTTCATTCGGGTCCAGCTTTCTCACCCGATAAATTATCATATCTGGCCAGAAAGTGAAAAGACACTTGCTATGCAACCATCATCTTGACCGTCACCATCAGCGTCAGGTTATCAGACACCTGTCCTGCACAAGATGGATGGTTGTCCTCTTTGTTGTCAACGCAGCTGACCCAAGGGAGTCCAAAAGATGGATACATAAGAGACAGCTGCTTGTGGCTCCAGAGGGTTCCATGACCCCTGTCCAGAGCCCATTATCGCCTTCTAGATGTTTGAATCCCACTCTCACCCATCAGACGTCAGCAGTAGAAGAGAAAGGTGGGAACCAACGAACGAGCTGCTTTCTCAGGGCTTTAAAATAAGCTCTGATTATGAGAACCATGAGCATTTGATTAGTAGACAAATGATGGGAGTCATAAAAATGGGGCTTTACAAGTGTTTGAAATTACATATCAAGGACAGTCTTTCCCTGGTATACATGCGTTTATAACGAGTCTAAGACAACATAATGCATTTGTTTTTCTTTCTTTCACCAAGAATAAGAGGCTGTATTATCTGGGATTTTTTTTTTATTGCCACAAGTTTTTTATGGACTCACTGAAGCGACCGAGAGGAAGACTAGCGTGTTTAACTTATTAGCTTCAGCAACTGTTTTAAAGGTTGTGGACACAAAAGTGTAAATAAAAAGATTGGGTCATAATGCAGAATCAAACATTATGAATATATGATCGCAGGTTTTTCTTATTTAAGGATTATTGAATTACTTTGCTGATTTTATTGTACTGTAATAATCTACTTTAATGACCAGCAGATGTGTTGGGATTCAAGCCACAGAATAATTTTGACTGTGAAAGTATTGTCCTCTGAAGAGGCATTTTTCAGACCTCAGACATTTTAATCATCTTCTTCTAAAATTGCAATGAAGCTTCTTAGATTGCCTTTTTGTATCTGTTGTTCCTTATATATTTGTGTAATTAATTATTGAAAATCCATAGCCTTCAATACTGCAAGTAAAAACCAAAACATGCAAATCGAGCTCAGCCACATCCTATATTGTTTTTATCTCACAATGTCACAAAGCTAAATTATACATGTTCATGTTTTTGTTTGACATAATCAGATTAAAATGTAGACCTTTGTATATTTCAACATACCGATTTCAATTTTTTGAAATGTAATATAGGTCTATCCATGCCATCGACTAATTCACCACAGTGTGAGATGACATCAACAGATGGTACTTACACAAATTAGAATAATTCATATACAGTACAGTTTTAAACAAGAAAATAAACCATTGTGCAGGGTTTTATACTTCTAAAATACAGGAACATTTAATGTTATTAATCCTGATGGAAAGTCAAGTTTGCAATACTTTTTATATTAGGGGGTCATGATAAAGCTACTGGATCTACAAATAAATACCAGAGCAAGGAAGACTTTGTTTTGGAACAAAGAGACCAGTGTGTTACCTTTTAGCATTGAAAGCACATGTGAGGCACAGCATCCAAACACCAGCTACTCCTACTGGAATCTATATTGCACATTTATTTTCTTCAGCCTAAAGTACATACTTTAACTAACATGAGAAGAGTGACTGTCATCAATATACATTATTAACCATATGCAATGCATACACCGCAGAAATCAGCTGGAAACATGTGGGAGTTGCTTTTGACTTTCCTATTGTGAGTCACTCATAGTTTTCTTTCCCCCCGGCTACTGAACACCACATTTGAGGGAAAACTTCACCATGCATGTCCAAAAATAAATTCCATATTGAAGATGGAGCTTAGTAATTTATTTCTCTTTGTTTTAAAAGATAGTTGCTTCTGGTTTCTGGAACCAAACCGCTTGGATCAAATCCCTCCAGAACATTCTCTGCTGTCTCTTCATCTCTCCTCCCTAGACTCCCAATATCTCAATATATAATAAAAACCACCACAAAGGGGGAACACACACTGCCCGCCCTAGTGATACGTTTTCCCAGTAGAGCTTCTTTCAACTAAATGTGGTCCTTAAGCCCCTGCTTAGAGTCCATGCCAGAAGCCTAGACCTAAATAGACTATCCCATACGATGCGGCACAGCAGTCTCATAAAAGAGGTCCCCTCGCCGTACACGCTGCTCCAACACGCACCCGGCAGCTGGGTCAGTTGGAATTACAGTTAAGAGGGGATATACGTGGGGGGGGGGACTCAAGGTTTCCATGTATGAGGTTTTGATGAATCAGTACCTGGAGGACTTGGAATATGTTGTGCTTAAGCCAAATACATGACCGGTTTGAACTGCCAGGCGGGGTGAGTGGAGAGAGATTTTCTCTCTAATGTGATTAGATTTTTGATGGATCCCTTTCTAACTTAACTCAGGAGGAAGGGACAGCAGGTGTTGAGGACGTACCCTCAGCTAATGATGACTTATAAATGACCAAAAAGTGAACTGAGTCGGGGTCTAAGGCCACACGACCCCTCATGTGGCACCTCCCCAAATACCTCGCAAACTGGAGAACGGGATCCAGTTTGTCAATTGCCCTTTGCTGCTTTATGGCTTCTCAGGTTTGATTCTATCAGCTTACTGAGGGTTGGAGCAGTGAGCCTGGCTGTCTGGGATCCGAGATTATTATGCTCTAGGTGTTGAAGGTGACTATGGCAACACGTTGGCAAGTCTGACAACATTTTGCCACAGAGATGCTATAAAACAGATGTTGTGGTGGGATTCAGGCCCTGTAGCAGCTGACATGTGAATTTTCCATTTACGCTGTGCCGACAGAATACATTCAGCACTGCATCACGCTTTGCAGACAGTTGATGGTAATCAAACACAGATAAGTGATCTCAATAAAAGACGAAGGTTCCTTTATTGAGTAGCACACTTATTGTTAAGATACTTCCTTTACCTCGGGCAAGCTATGAGGCAAAGATCTATAAATGATAAGAACTTGAACTTTACGCAGAGTTCTTGTTAAATGGAACATAATTTGCATGCAGCCCTCAACACAACATGTATTTGTTTGTGTATAAAAAGCACATGGGAGTTAAGGATGCCAAAGAAAAACACTTTAGCTTCCATCACAGCTGCACCTTCTCTAACCCAAAGGAGACGTACCCTAAGGCCTACTGAGATGGCCCGAGGATTGTCTCAGAGCAGCTGAGGCTGCCACTCTCCACCGCTCACTCCCAGTGGAGGCTGTTTGTGATCTGTTACATCAATAAAAAACATGACAAGCTCTCCTCTCCCCAACTGCAGTCAACACGGCTTCGAGAGGTGAGAGGACGAAGAGCTGACCTGCTTTAAACACTCATGCACACTTTTATTTTCTACCAAGGTGCCAACACAGGTGCACTCTCGTGCTGCGTACCTTCTATCTGTGGTCTTCCATGGATAAAATTAGTGCCTGTGCAAATCCAGCCAACCTTTGGAGCCCCATCTATCTGAGGTGTCACTCAGTGTTACAGGCTGTCAACGGTTTCGCTTACAGTTAGCGTTCCAATGGATCGCTGGAAACCTGAGAACATAATCAGGAGAGAGGCAGCCGAGAAAGAGGCTACAGACTCCATCGTAAAACGTGCATTTGTCTTCCTGTCACCTGAGAGGCTGCGCAGTGTTTTCCTTTTACCTTAGTTCCACTCTGTGGTGGCCCAAGAGTTGTTTAATTTACTTCTGCTGCAAAAAACATATAATAACACCACGGGTGGTTAAGAACGCTTAAAGACGATCTTATGCAATCAGAAGGTTCAAATATAGTGCAAGTAAGCATATGTTGAGCTCATTATGTTAATTGGAATGAGTAGAGGGCGTTTCAAGCTCTAAGAATATTGTTTTAACAACTGTGAAGGGATAGTTGACATCATATAAATTATATTTATTTGTTGATCTTTTCTTGCTGGCATTTATGG